TGAAATTTTGAGCAGTTAGCTGACTCGTACTTGGGCACTGAGTGCTGGAAAGATAGCTGGTTAAAATGTGGTGGGGTTGAAGACTTGGCTAAAGAACGTGTAGTTATTCAAGCAGGATGTCCAGTTTTTGACAGCTAAACCCTGAGGTTATGCTTGCATCTGAGATATCGCCATTGCCAGCAGGGCCTTGGCTGGATTGGCTGAGATGGGGTGAACAGAGGTGTGGCCGTCCATGTTCCTGTGATCAGAAAGGCAGTACACACGTGAGCAGCAAGGGGATAGGATCTAGGCCGAGTCCCAGGGAGGATGGACTTTTGGGACTTTCCAGCTTCACGTTGGGTGCCCAGAAGACAGTTGATGGAAAAGGCAAAGGAGTAGTTAGTTTAGGCACGTCCAGCTTGAGGTGCAGGTCGAATTCTTGTTCTAAAGCTGCAGTAAGCTCAGTGTTCTATAGGATAAAGAAGACATGTCTGTAGAAAAAAGATTTCTGTCATTCATCCATTATGTAGTAGCAGAAAGAAAGAGTAGCCTTTGGTGAAATGGAAGGAGTAGTTGATAAAAGAAGTCTGTCATCAAAGGGTCGGTGTTGGGGATGTGGGGATTACAGTGTAGAAGAGTAATCAATTAATTCCTTTTGCTGTGTGGACTGGTGTCTGTATTCTACTCTCCAGAATACACTGCTCCAGTGCTGGAAAGCATGCTCCCCCCATATTCTCATACACGCTAAAGATTAATGATACAGGGCAGCTTCGTGTAGCGCCTCCTCCCACCTGCCCTTGCCACTGAGGGAAGCTATCCCTAGAGTCTTCTCCCTTCACTTTAGGACAGGATCAATAGGGTGCTGACCTTGGAAAGCCATTACTGCTGGGAGCTCTCCTTTGGTGGTTTAGGGTTACACTGCTTCCTTCACATAGTCAAGTGCCGACCAGTGTCTGAAGAAACCGCCCCCTCTCCCTGACAGGTGGCACATCTCTGGAGTTGTCGATAATTTGGATTCACATATTAAATAGAAAATGTGGAAAGCTGTAGGGCAAACCAGACTTTGAGCAGGGACGCTGTTTTGAAAGAGAAGTAGGAAGAGTGAGGTGTTCCCTAAGCTTGGAAAGAAGAGCCCATGCCGTGATCGCCGCCTGGAGCCTGGAGGCTACATAGTTGTATCTGCTTGTACGAGACCTTGGATCTCAAGGGTTCTGTTCTCTTTGCAAGGGCTCCATGCTGGCTAAATAGTTCTGTACAGTTCCTCCCTTTCTTGGAGCTTCCTGCTTTAAAGGACGTGTCTGCTTTTAGGGGGGAAGCATTCTGGTGCCGTCAGAAGCTGGGATCACCACTGTAGCAACCAAGTCTGTCATTTCATAGGCACAGGTTTGTTGTTAGTGCCTGTGGATGGAGGGCTGGCATAACACAGATTTCAGTTTCTACTCAGTTTTTAGTTTACTTCTTACTCTAGCTATAAGATAAATTAATAAATGATATTATAGGAAAGTTAATAATTTCTATAAAAATAATAATCTAAAAAGGACAATAGTTTATATTTACTTATGTTTACTTATAAACATTTTTCAGAATTTTTAAATGAATTTGCAGATAAAAATATTGATGCTTTTATCTGAAAACTTGAGTATGTTAAGCTTAAGACACTTTATTCATTATAATATATTTGTGCATGTTAGTTAAATACTTTTTAATCCATTTAAAAAAGTACTTTAGGATTCTGTGGCTCCTTCAGACTTCCTCAAGTCTTTTTCTAAAATTAAACCTAAGTTCTGGATTTTAGGTCATATAGACTCTCTCTTCACCATCAGCATGTCCAGGTTTATTTTCTCCCTGATTGAAAACACCATCCTCTAACTTGTCAGCAGCTCAGTTGAGCAGTCAAACTGTATTGTTCACTATCTTGTCTGACATGAGAGTACCAGTCCAAAGAAAGAGATGTCACAAATTGGTGCCACACTTCAATAAATAGAGACATTTTATTTTGCACCACACTAATTCAATCCAGTTCAGTTAACTCTTTTTCCCCCCATGTAAGGACAGATTAGAGAAAGGCAGCCATGAATGACTGAGTTGGTCATGTGTTTGACACGTCAGTGTGTGTATACAAAGCAGACCACAATGGAGGGCTCAGCCTTTGGATTTCAGACAATACCAGTGTGGGAGCCTCACTCAGCACATGGTGCAGAGTGGGGACCTCAGCTCACAGGCAAGCTCAAATTAGCCCATATCCGTGCACATGCGCAAGTACACAGGGCAGGGACTAGGCTGTTGCCCTGAATAGCTTCCCTCACCCCCCTTGTTGTGTCGACTCCAGGAATCTTCAGCCTTTTCTCAGGTTCCTGAGTTTCATTTTAGCTTCCTGAGCAGAAGAAATTACTCAGCACTTCATATGGTTTTGTGATCTTGATAAAAATATGATCTAAATGTGTTCCCTTAAAATCCTTTTGATAATAAAATGCCCACGCTTGTTACTTCTCAGGTCAATAATTCCTCCCTGAGACAGACCATGATGTTTTATTCTTGGGGTAGAACAGAGTAGCTCAGAACTTCAAATGTGGTACATTGTCCTCTCATTGAGAGGATACTAATATTGTTGGGAAACATGCTCACTGCTTCATGGAGAAGATCTGAGGTCCTGGAGTTTGGCCTTAGAGCCCTTCAGGAACATGTCACCCCCTGCAGTTTGTGCTCCAGATTCCTGTAGTGACACCACTGCCTAGCATACATTGCTCACCCCGTGTGTCCCGAGCCATCTTGTAGACAGCCGAGCCTCTCTGTCTTTCATGGAGTGTCAAATACTGCTGTCCTCACGAAACGGGCCTTCTTCAGTGAGTGCTGTGACAGCACAGGGCTCCCGCACACTTGCTCTAGGAATTTTAGGGCACCCTACCCCTCCATCGGGTGAATGAAGGGAGGCTGGCCATTTAATCCACAATCCCTGTGCTGGGACTTGAGCAGCACAGATCACAAAGATGTGTCAGCAGGAAGCAGGCACAGGGCTAGTGTCCCAGTCAGGACAGATCTTGGGGCCAAATTCTACCAGTCAGCAGTGGAAGGACTCATATAGTTGTCTAAAATCCCCTATTTTTCTTAATGAAGTTATGGAAGACAGAAAATGGTAACATATGACCTCTTAATTGGCATGAAAGTAACAGTTAATTGTGATAGAGTTAAGATTTCAGACAAAATACCTCAGACATTGGTGAAATCATACATAGAACATGCTCTTTCTGCATGTTAGTTTTCCACGCTAGTCCATTCACATTGGCTAGCCACAGTAGCAGTCTTGTTTGAGAGACGTTATTGCCATCATGGTTTTACAGGTGAAGGAGCCAAGATGCATTCAAAGTCACTTGTTCAAGGTCACAAAGCAGCAGACTTAGGGATAGAGCCACAGATCCAGGGCCTTTGACCCCTTCTCTGCTCATGAGCACTTTGGTGTTCTGTCCCAACCCCCCAACCCCTTCCTGTAACTGTGCTACCGTGGGACTGTCCACCAGTGGATGTGGGTGTAGTGCCATGCGCTGCTCGTCAGGGAGCACAAATGAGGTCATGATTCAAGGGGACACTAGTCTCAGTGGCCCCTCCATCCCCCTTGCTTGGATGGAGAACCGGAGAAAGCAGAAACCACCCATCGGCAGTTGCTGCCACAGAGCAGACCTTTTGTTGTGAGGGTTTTGAGGCATGGATGATTCTATGACACTAGGGTAGGACCTTGCAGAACTCCCTGCAGGTGGTGACATGCAGGGATGGGGAAATGTGGCGGCCACATAAGCCCGTCAGTGGTGCAGGGCAGGTCTCGGCACATGTCTCGTGGTTGACTGCTTCGTCAACCAGCCCCACTGCAATGCTGAGGTGGTTCCGAAGGCTCTCTTCCTGGGAAGCGTCCACACCCAGTCCTTAAAACCCGGCTGTGCACACCCAAGTCGTAACAGGCATACCTTGGCTACATAGGAAATCTTGCTGTGGGCCTACAAGCATTATGCCTTTTAGAGATTGCAATGTGGGGCATGACATGTACCTGTAATTAGGGATGTGTTCCAGACAAGACTTTGAGTGTCCACGCTTTCTGTCACACAGTCAAGATTTTAAAAGTGAATTCCCTAAGTCTTCAGAGGAGACTATTTTTAATGTAGCATGCAGATAATGGAAAAATATGTCTTATAGTTAAGTCTTCTTTTTAATGTGTGTGTGTGTACTAGAAAGGCTCCTGGGACATTAATATGCTTTGTAGCTGTTCTGGGGATAAGTGTTTAAATGCTGGGTACAATCTAAAGTGGAAGAGCCCCGGTGAAATGGCCACTCATCAGATGGCTTTGAAGTTGAGCTTCTCTGGGGTGGTTGTAGTCTCCTTCCTAATGGGCATGTTTCAAAGGAAAAAGTGGCTGTGGCATTCTGCTGTGATGTCTCCAAATGAACAAGATCTGTTTTGTTTTGGTCTGTTTCTGACTAAATTTTGGAAGCTAGCTTCTTAAAAATCACATTAATTACAGAAATGGTTTCTGCCACTGTGGACTCATTCTCATTGATAAGGTAAGATTTGAAAGTTAATTTTTCCAGTACAGTTGACATTGTAAATAGCGGGTGCCTGAGCTCTTTTATTTTATAACCTTTCCAATCCTAAATTTACTCAGCTTTCCACACTAATATATCAAAAGGGTGGAATTATGTCTATAGGAGATGAGGAATATAAGAACTCCTTTTATGAAGTATCTTTCTGGCAAGCTACTATGTTTAAATAAAGATATTTAGAAACTATGTATTTGAGATTTACGGCTCTTTGATTTTGGTAACTGGAGGATTTTCATGGTTTAAACCTGCAAATGCTTTAAGGATGTTGAGTGAAGATTTTTGCTTTCTACATTTTGAATTGAATTTCACTTAGCTAAGTTTAGACAGACATGCCACAGTGTAGGTTAAAATGTTTCCTTTTTTTTTTTTTTAAACCACATAGACTGTGTCACAACTAACCTTTATTTTATGCTTTTTTTTTTTTTTTAACTTAGTTTTCATATGAATCCAACAAGCAGCGAAGACCTCAGGAAAATCCCGGTAAGTTGACAAGGGGTGACAAGATGACCAGAGAGAGAGAGAGAGCAAGCCTAGCTTCTCTATAACACACATTCCCCAAACTCTTGACCACCTTGGTGGCAGAAGTCTTGTTGATCAGTGTGGTGGCGTGGGGAGGAAGAAGACAGTGAAACTGATACTTTGCCTTTATTAAACAAGTGATTGTTGCTGCTAAATATGCTCAGAGATAGTTCAAGCTGATGCAGTTACAATCGACATCTCTCTAGTGTATACATGTTTGTTTGTAACCTGTGATCTTAATGTGAAAGCTGTATATCAGAGTCCACATTATAGTCGTGAAGGTAGACTGACATTTGTTGTTTGTACGGGGATTGATACAAAGCAAAGCTGCTTTCTAACATACAATAGGAAATCAGCCTGGCAAGAGACTGGAGTTTACCAGGCAAGGCTTTGGAAGGGCAGATAGGTGCCTCCCGATACCTCCCAAGTCAGACCCAACCAGAGCTATCCCAGAAGTGGTGGCAGTTAGTTAAATGGATGTGGGTAATTTGCAGGAACTGTTGAAGTAACTTTGTTTTATTGTTATCTGAAGTTCAGGATTGAGTAGGAGAGTTCAGTTACATCTGAGTTTTGTAATATGTTGACATGGAGAAAATCACTTTATAAAAATACAGGCAGATGTTCTTGGGGAAAAACTACATTTTTAACAAGTAATAGAAAAGAGACCGGTGGCTGCTGTTTCAACCATCTGCCCTTAATGTGTGTGATCCAGATTTAATTTAAATTTTTTTCTTGTAATTCCATAATACAATTTCTAGTATACGGTTTTCCTAAAATAAGTCAAGATAGGGTTAAAGTTTATTTTATAAACCGTTTCAAGTGCAGGTGTGTATCTAAAGAGTGGTGAAGACACCATGGGAACACAGGACTTTAGATAATGCTTTTGCTGCTTTATGTAAATGAGTTTTAAGTTTTGATGTTTCATAAATACTCGTCTTTATAATATGGCAGTCTTGAAGCAATGTCAGATTATATGAAGTCAGCCTTTGATCAGATAGTGAAATGAATTCTACTGGGCTGTTACTTAATCTCAAACAAACTGCAACATCAAAAATGGATTTAATGTGTAGCTATTGTTTATTAGGTAACCTTAATTACAATTTCTGTGTGCTTGTAGTTGTACTTTTCTAAATCTTATAATTTATTGCTGTTAAAACATCCTCAGAAATCTTTAAAGAAGTAAAATGTGAAAATTGTTTTAGTTCAGGGATTTAAAGGTGATAAAAGAATCCTTGATGTGTGATTATTTTTCTCTGGAATCTGACTATTCTAAATGACAGTTAAAGGATTACTAGGTGTTGCTAATGGACTGCAAGATACAATTAAGAGGAAAAAGCGCCCTTACAGACTAGTTTTCAGGAGAGGTATTTGAACAATTCTTATGTTGAAGATTATAAGATGTTTGAAGTAATTTACATGAAGTTCTCCGGTAATAGCCATCCACCAAGTTATTTTCTCTCCTTCTGGACGGAGTATTGTGTAATTAGGTTTGTATGTCGGCTATGCTGGTGCCAACACCTGTCTGTGGAGGCTCGGTGTTTGGGCAGGAGCAGTAGCCAGTTGAAAGGGCAGTGTGAGCTCTTTAAGGCCTAATTAAGAGCTGAGAGGGAGATGAAGAGACGAGGACAAAAGATGTGAAGGTAGCTGAGATGGTGTTCCCAGAGCAGAGTCCCTCATTATACAATAATGAGATGATCCGAGAACGCCAGGCCTTCATCTCCTCCCTCTCTCCTCCAGTCGCCCTGGACGTCAGTTAGTACCCACCAATATTTGGTTACCAGGACAACCTTTCTTTAAATCTTCAGTTATTTTGAGTCATGATAATTTGCTTTTGTCTAGATTTAAATATTGTAAAATTTACATATATGTATTTCCTAAGACTATAATGTGTGTAAGGTAAAAATAGCTAATAGTCCCGGGAATCTTCCACTTGAGTCTTATTATTTAAAATTCTGATTAAAAACTTCATAGAGAACTGTTCCTCTCTTACCCAGTCCTCTGTCTTTGTGTCTGTATAAGGGACTTTACTTTCAGCAGATGTGAAGAAGAGAAAGGATTAGTTGTGAAAGGAAACAGACAATGAAAATTTATATTAAATTTCAAAATAGGAAAATGTCTTCAAAATGTGTGCTGTTTATAAGTGTGGGGCACAGTACTGAATTCATGGCTGTCCTGTTACAGGCTGTATTTGCTCTCTCCTGGTTCTAAGGTTGGAGTTTTCAGTTTTTCCTATATATTAGTAAACACACCTTTGAAAAACAATATTTGTATTTGCCTGAGAGTATTCCTCTTTAAGCAAACTACTTTTTATAACAAGAAAACATTTTAACATTGTTTACATTAGTGAATAATAATCTTTTTTATTTTCTTTGAAATTATAAGTGTGTGTGTGTGAGTGTGAAGTGATATGTCAGTTTAAGAATTGTATGCCTAAAATTAGAAAATTTGTTTGGTTCTCAAACACTGAGTAAAATCTGGAGCCAAGGCTGGGCTATTTTAATTATTTATATTCTTTCCCAGGGTGTAGTTTATGGTACATGTGTCTCTAAGACGTTTTCCTATTCAGAAACCTAATGCCGAATTTTGGGTAAAAATATCCTCCTGGAAAGAAGACAGGAGAACTTCACTAAGAACAGAAATCATTTCTTCGAAGTAGGGTGGGGTGAGGAGATGAGGAATATGTGTGTATATTGTTCATTCTGGCTGTAAAGCATTGAGTAGTACTCTGAAATACTAGTTAATCTTGTGAGACTTAGATGATTGCTGTCATGGCACTTAAACCACTTTCGTCATAATGGAAATTTTTGGCATGTCATTTATCTCCTTATTTTAAGATAAATGTTACAATATTAACTCCATTAACCAGTATTATTGATTCAGTGTTAAGTATAGCCATGAGAATTATTTTTAAATGTATGCTATCACTTGTAATTTACATATAATTTGATTAAAATTAGAGAGCCTTAACAGATGCCATTATGTTAAATTCATTGGACAGCAATGACATAAAGTTGGCAACCTATAAGTAACATAGCCCGTTTTGTTTAATTTCCTGACCCCCATGATTCTCAGGTTTTCTAGTAAATATTTTGTTAGGAAAGTAAAATCATAGTAGTTAAACTTTATTATTTTAAATGCAGTTCAGAAAAAAAATTAATCAATAGATTACAGAATTCTGGAGCTGAAAGGGGTTGGAGATGCCTCCTCAGATAAGGGATGTGAGGATTCTGGAGCTGAAAGGGGTTGGAGATGCCTCCTCAGATAAGGGGTGTGAGGATTCTGGAGCTGAAAGGGGTTGGAGATGCCTCCTCAGATAAGGGATGTGAGGATTCTGGAGCTGAAAGGGGTTGGAGGTGCCTCCTCAGATAAGGGATGTGAGGATTCTGGAGCTGAAAGGGGTTGGAGATGCCTCCTCAGATAAGGGGTGTGAGGATTCTGGAGCTGAAAGGGGTTGGAGATGCCTCCTCAGATAAGGGATGTGAGGCCCGGCCTGATTCCTGCCTCATTTTTATACGTTATCACTGGTGCTCAAGCACAAAGGTTAGCTTCTTTCTGACAAGTCAAAAAAGTCACTATAATTTATCTTGTCTTTATTACAAAAATGCAAAATACAATTTATATTTTATTAGAATACAATTAATAAATTTATAATATACCTCTGAACAACTAGTAACCAATACATTATGTTATAGACTTAATTAACACAAGAGGGAAGGTGACAGCCAGCACTTAGCCCCAGAATAATCCTTACAAAGCTTACGAGCAGCATTTGAAATGTTGGCGCACAAGTAATTTAATTCAGAAAGTTTCAATAAATAAAATGAATTGTTTAAAGTTCATCTTTCAGAATTCAAACTCACTTTTCTTAAATATTACATTTATAATAAACTTCAGTATCTAGTAAAGGATTCGATTTTCCTGTTTGATGTCTTGGTAAGAATTTTTAAGTTAACATTTACTAAATGTTAAAAACATCTTTGCATATTCTATCATGGCATTATAGAGACTGTTAAGGTTTTTATAGCATCCAAATTCATGTTTCCAGTATTTCAATAGTTCTGGGAGCAGCCTCTACTCCCTAAACGGTCTTACCCATGGTGGCCATGTTAGTTTCTTAGAACTTTGCCCCCAAGGCATTTCTGCTTAAAGTTGATCGCAGCAGAAGAGCTAAGAAGTGATTCCTTTCAGCCCTAAATAGTTTCTTATTACCCTTAGGAAAATGCTACAGACCATCAAGGATGGTATTGCCCATGCTTGACGGGTCAGTGGGTGTCGCCAGAGCCTCTCTCACTCACTGTCTCCCTGGCCTGTGGCAGGCCACTAGACCTCGATCCCTGCTTGCTCATTGTCTGTGCTCATCACACCGTCCGTTTCTACATGGGGAGTGTGAAGTGTGTGAAGCCTGTTGCAAGCTGTCGCCACCTGACCCCTGATGCCTGAGGTGTTTGCGTATTTTCAGGAAGAATGGGCACATTTGAGCGACTGGGATGGTTTCACAGTGGGGGCCACAGATGGTCGAGAGGGGCCTTGGCATTAACAGAAAAGTCCCACACACATAGAGTGAAAGACGGAGGGTATTGAAGATGGGAGAGGCATGTAATTTCTCTGGGAACAAAGTCTTTCCACATCCCCAGGCCTCAACCCATCCTCTGCTGGACAGACTCCGAGTCCTGCCCTAGGGACGAGAAAACTAGTTTCCTTAGTATTTTAGGTATTTTCTTAAAGCAAAATGGAAGTGTGTTGATGAACAGTGATACAGATCATCCTAAATTGTTGAGCTTAGGGCCAGAACTGTGTTTTCAAGGCATCAAATCTGTTGTTTGTGTCTCGACGTTATGTGGTGGAGATCTAAATCCCAGGGCATTGTGAATGAGGGAGTAGTACAGGGCCCGTCTTCACCCTCGCGGGTCGTTTTCTTTAGATTTTGGTGTCACGACACTGTTAGAATAAAAAATTTGAAGCAATACCCTCTTATGCTGCATTGATGCTTTGGTCTGATGCTTCCCCACTAGCGTATCATTAGCTAAGTAAATGAATGGGATGAGAGGCATGCAGCTGTCTTGACACGATTAATGTGGCCATAGCTGAGCTCTGAGCTCCCTGATAACAGGGCAAAAAGTGGAAACAATATCAAACTGGGAACTCAGGGAGGGAAAGCTCACCTTGCTGGTCAGCTGTGACAGAAGTTATACCCATAGATCATGACCGTTGGTTTAGTTCCAGGTGCCTTTATAATTTTCAGTAAATTAGAGAAGCAGAGTGGTATTTCTGTCTCTCATAGCCATCGTCAATAAAAAGCCCAGGCGGAAATGTGAGCTGACTTTAGTGGAGTGATTCTGTGAGCAGTGTCTGTATGTGCAGTGTCATCTATATGTGTATATGCAGTGTCTACATGTATCTATATGTATACTGTCTATGTGTGCAGTGTCTATATGTATGGTGTCTATATGTGCAGTGTCTACATGTGGTGTCTATATGTATAATGTCTGTGTATGTGATGTCTGTGTATTGTGTCTATATTATAGTATCTATATTGCAGTGTCTAAATGTACAGTGTATGTGCAGTGTTTATATGCACAATGTCTATATGTATGGTGTCTGTATGTATATCATCTGTATGTACAGTGTCTGTATTTGTGGTATCTATAAATCCAGTGTCTATATGTGTGGTGTCTGTATGTGCGGTTTCTCTTGCTTCTTGGCAGTTCTTGTGCTAGATGCTTACCAATGTTCAGTTTTAACCTATTTTCATGACATTGGCTAACTTGTAGTTTGAAATTATAGAGCATATCCCATCCATCCCCTCTAACATGCTGAGGATGGGACCTAGGACCTTCTGCATGCTAAACAAGTGCTCTGCCACAGAGCCACACCCTCAACACTCAAGTTATAGTTTAGGCCTCTCCAGCATGGGCAGTCTATGAGATCAAGAAGTTATTCCCAGTCTAAGAAGGAATTTCAGGTGCAGAGTCGAATCTGGCTTTTAGCCTGTCTTCCTTCCTGCCTGCCTGGGACTAGCTGCACCTGGGAACTGACACCGTGGTTCTAGCTATGGCCAGAGAGAAACTTTATCAGCCTCAGAAAAACCAGAAGATGAAATTCTGACTAGTGTTTAATGTCTATCTATCACTGTGTCCTTTCTGCCTGCTAAAGCAGGTCTGCATTTCATTCCAGGACAACAATCCTTTCGATGCCACAGCTGGGTACCGGAGTCTGACCTACGAAGAGGTGCTGCAGGAGCTGGTGAAGCACAAAGAACTTCTTCGGAGGAAGGACACCCACATCCGGGAGCTAGAGGACTACATTGACAACCTCCTTGTCAGGGTGATGGAGGAGACACCCAGCATCCTGCGAGTGCCCTACGAGCCATCCAGGAAAGCTGGCAAGTTCACCAATAGCTAGTGGAGCCAACAGGGCTGTGCTTATAGCTGAGAAGGGAGAGGGAGAGGGAATAAGACAGAAGGGAAGGAGAGCGGGAGTGTGATACTGGCAGAGTCCACACTGCCAGGCTTCACCTCCCCTCCTCCATCAGTGGGACACGAGTTGGTCCTGTACATACTCACAGGTATTGTCTAGACTTTGGGGTGAGTAAAGCACTCTACACTCTGACACTTGAAAACAGGCCATGCCTTGATGAATGAGCAGTTCCATGGCACCATATGGATGCTGGTTCTGGACCCCTGCCTGCCATAGGCCTGGAAATACCTTCAATAGCCCATGAGTTATTCCTCAGGAATAGATTCCATAAAGCAGAGCTGATACTGTTGTTGGATTCTTAGAAGTCAGTGTAGACACACTTAGCATCAGGAACACTTCTGGTTATAAACACTACTAAAAAAAACATAGCAAGTCCCTCATATATGTATGTTCCTGTGTCTCTGTGTATAAAGTACATGCATATACCTCATATGTACGTGTGTTTTTAAGACATTTAAAGATGAGTGGTTGTCTCTAAGGTTAGGATTCGGATCTCGTGGTTTAAAATGCGCTTTTGCATATCCACCAAGGACTGCTGGTCACCAGGACCACCCCATCTCGATGGAGAATCTGCTTCAATCCTCTCCTAATTCTCTGAAACCTGAGTTTGAAGGGATTCACTGCACCCAACTCCATCCTTCAACATCAGCCCCTCACCCCCAAGCCCTGTGCCCCAAAACGTGATGATCCCAAATCTTTTCAAGGAATGACAATATTTAGGGCTCTATATTCTTTCCACAGGAGCATGGATTTCTTCAGCTGGTTCTCTCATGGTAGTTGAGACTATGGGAAATGTAAACAGGAGATAGGCTAGTACAGTTTGTTCTACTTTGGATCATGAGCAAAGACAACAGCTAAGTTATATCATAAAATGAGCTGGGGAGTGAGGGGCTGGCTGTCTGTTGCCAGATAACCCAAGGCAACAGCACGTTGTAGGAATGGAGGGCTTGGCTTCAGTTTCATCAGCAGTAGAACAGATGGTTGCCTTTGAGCCCTGATCCAGAGACTCACCGCAGCAGTTGGGTGTGGAGAGCAGCCCTTCAGCAGCATCATAGCACAGGGCACCCCAGTCTACCCACCCGCGAGGAGTTGATGTGTCACCACATTATGTGGTCTTTGTGTAAGCCCGCCTCCATAGAATGGTAGTTCCTGTGTGGATTTGCCTTGTGTATTTGTAGAAGATTATCCTAAATTTTAAAGTGAAAAGTGATGAGGTAAGAATATTGCTGATCTCCGCCAGTGTTTCAGCCTCAGTCAGGCAGACTTTGTGAACTGGGAGTGAAAGACTGCATAGAGAGGACAAAGTGAGTGTGTCCTCAGCCCTGTGGTGACTTCACTGAAAGTTAGATGAAAGCAGAGGCTGCAGTTTTGCTGATTTTCATATTTTTAGTCACAAAATCCCTTTTTATCTGTATCTTCTGAGTTTCTGTGGTTTTCTAGAAAACATGGGTTTTGAAGTGAATTTTTCCCAAATACACACTTAGATACTTTTCTACAGTTAAAACAGAGAAGGAAAAATGGCTTTTTAAAATCAATTTTTCTCCCACTTATAATTAAAGCGATTCTATAACAAACTTCAAAGGCTAGTATAGATTTGATTTTCCCACGTGAGATCCTGGTAAATATTATTTTGAAATGGTGCCATTTAAAATTAACATATATTAGACGTTACCAAATCTTTAAAATTCTTAGCATAGTTTCACCATGTCATTGCTGAGACTTGAACTTTTTAGAGCACCCAGATCTGTGTCCTCAGCTTTGTGACAGATACCTGCAGGTGTAGTGCTGCGCACTAGCCAAGCGAACTCAAGCTGTCGTCTGTTTTACCCTGGGAATAAGTTTTCCATAAATCTCATCTGAAAAGCACGATTCAAATGATACCGCCCTTCTTATGAGCAGTAAGTTATAAGCCACAGTTTTCTCCTCTATAAGAATCTGTGTCTGTGGACTCATCTGCCCTTGGTGACTGGCTAGGCTGACGGGTATTTTCCTCTTGAGAATCTAAAATGAAGCTTTGTCCAGTGGCAGTGAGGTTTATTTAAGGCACAGTTATTGTTCCCACATTAAAAACAAAAGTCTAAGACAAATAAAAAGTATCCATTTACACTCCATAAAATGTTGTGTGCACTCGTGAACTTAATGTTTTTATCATAGTCAACATAACAAACTTAGAAATAAAACAAGTGATATATAGCATGTGGCCGTGCCTGGACCTAAGTGTGGGCTGGGAACTATAGAAAGAAGGCCAAGTAGATGATTGGTTTATTTTCCAAATGTCACACAAAATATTCTAGTGGTTTATTTTTATATTAACTTAGATGTGGAAATAAAATGTATGTTTCAGTAAACAATGCATGCATAATAGGTTTTTAAAGGATATTTTATTTCTACTTTTAGCCTAAAGATACATGCTCAAAACCACTTGTACTGACAAGAAGATTTTTTTTTTTTTAAATCACAGACTCAACCCTTCTCTCAAGCCTGATTTAAGCTAACACACTTCTGTTACATAATAGTATTTTACAGCCAGTGTCTCCCAGTTCTAAACTCAGCTTGACAGTATTGCTACATCACCCAGCTTCTGGGACTTGTGTATTCCTCGAACACCAAGGCCATTGCTTAGACTTGTATATAAGATGCCATGTAACCCATTAATGGTAAGTGTTGGAAGCATTGCCTTTTGCTGCCGTGTTCTGCATCTGCCCTCCTCCCACGAATGTAGTATTATTCATAGATTATACATAAGTATGTGTATTGCTTTTGGCAGTAAATCAAGATCTAGTTGTAATTTTCCAGCTGTGAAAATGTCACCTTGTATTTAAAAGGGTTTCACGAGTGGAAACCTAAGTAAATAAGCTCATTAGTGACAGCCCTGCTTTTCCATGTCCCCTACCATCTCCCCACTCCTGCTTAACCCCCGCCCAAGTGAGTGTCTATTCGTGAACAAGGAGAATCTTAAACAAAAAATAAAATGGAAGACATGCTGTCGCTAAGTATCTATCTGTAGTAACTAACTGTTACACTAAAGCTTTTTTTTTTCCTGGATAGCTTTATCTCCTCCCCCACCTCCTCCCAATAAAAGCAGCTTCCCTTGGATTGGGAAAGCAAGTGACAACTCTTTGCCACGTGTGTGCTCATCGTTCATAAAGGTGTAGTCGGTGTCACTCGTGTGTGGGTGAGGTGCGAGCATGCCCAGTCATTTCATCTTTTCAGCAGACGGAAGGGCTGTACCGTAAGCTCGTGGTGGCCTGGAGAGGGTCTGCCAGCACACACCGAGAGCCCCATCTTCACAGATTCATAACTCTAATAATCCAGACGCTGTCCCTGGAAGTATTTAATATGCAATAGGTAGCACCTTCACTAATTAATCTGCATACGAAGGGCTTCCTGATGTATTTAATAAGATGTGTAGAAGCTCTTCAAGCATTAAACTAAAGTTGACGTTTTATTTCATTTACTTTTCCCTGTCAAAAAAAAGAAAAAAAAAATCAACCCTTACAATGGAATTGAAATCTGTCCCCTAATGATACATTTGGGCCTTTTAATTTATGGAGCTTCTAGATTGTATGTACTGTGAGGAATTAAAAAAAAAAATGCTGCAGATCTAGAAATGTATGTTCTTAGCGAGTGTTGGAATGATGTTAGCATTGTTTATAATTGAAGAGTATCACCCCTACCTTTTTAAGTAAATGCTTAGCAAGTCATATACATTTTTGCAGGTACAAAAGTATATAAATATCGTATAATGTGACAGTTGTATAACTTACGTAATCTGATGCATGAGTCAGAATTTTTATATATGATAATTGATTTGTTATAATTGATTAAAGTGTTTAAACTTAATCCAGTCATCAGAATTTCTTATTGTAAAGCTCTTCCTATTATGTATTTCTATAGGCTTCTTCATTGTCTCTTGATAATGAGACAGGTTGTGTTGGGGCCTCCAGACCTGTCTTGTAGGGAATATGGCTTTGAACAGTCACGTGGAAGTCAAGTACCTTTTAACTTAGTGTGGGGGGGGGGCAGGGAGAATATGTGTATAGGTCCCTCCCTTACCTCCATAGGGGCATGTTGCAATTACAGACACTTGCACTGCTGTAGCAGGTTTTACGTGGAATCTGGGGATCAAACTCAGGCCACCCGGGCTCTCATAGCAATCCCCTTTTCTCTGAGCTATGTACCCAGCCCCAGAAAAGTTTCTAAGAACTTAAGAGCGAGCTTTCGTCAGCACTTGTGGAGATACGTACACTCTGCCATGAGATTTGCTCCAAGAGGTGTGGGGGGTTGCCCCATGTATGCTGGCATCCAGGCTGAGGCCCGTGGCAAGAGCTCTCTTCTTCTGGGTCACCTGATTTATTGTTCACAACCGAGGCAAAGAAGACACAAGGTTCTGGAGGAAATTGTAGTCAAGGAAGAGTAAATTGGGTTGCCAAACACAAGGTTTCCATAGCCTTTTATCTTCCACTTTTGCCTGAGACCACACATGTCCACAGCTATCATCATGGCCATCATAACTGCATACCTGTCCGTGTGAGGTTCCACCCGAGAGAAACTGGCTCTTACATCTGCAAATGCACTCGTGTATCTGGACATGTAGATTGCAGTGCATGCAGCATTTGTGTGGCTCTAGAATCTATAGTCTAGATTCTGAGATGTGGATCATGTGTAGTCCTAGGTCTCAGTGGGGTCTCTCTAGAGCAAGAGCTTTCTCTGCAAAGTGGCTATCTTCTAACTCTCTAGTCCTTGGCTTTTGTGGGGTCTTTAACCCGCCCCTTCTATTCCATGGTGTTTTCTGTAGCCTGTTTCTCTACTAGCTAGCTCTAGCCTACTCTCTCAGTCTATAGAGACAAAGGCATTCGAGGGCAGTTTAGAAGCTGAAAGCCAATGGCATGAAGTAATTTTTCTCAGAAATGGTACATTCAGATGGGCTTATGATCCAAATGCCTCACATTTTATGCTTTCCTCAAATAATCTTGCATAACAAATTTTCACACTTTTATCTTTTTGTGGATACACAGTTGCTTACAATTAACTGTTTGAACCCAGAGTGCTTCATAGTCTCATATTTCTAATACACTAAAAGTTTCATGCTTAAATGTTCAGTGGTTTTATCGCTTGGTAGTCCCACCATATGCCAGGATTCATGGCAGAAAACAAGATCATGGACTTCTTAGGGGATTTCAACACAGCTCTGCTGTATAGTGGTCAAATTCAAGGTAATGTCTGATTGATAATATTAATATTAAAGTTGGTGAATTCTTTAAAGAAACGAGCATAGCAAAGATTATAGCTTCCATGTCACTCAAATTCTGCTGTACCCTTGTTAATAATAGAAGAGCAGGAGACTTCAGACTCACCCAGCAAACATGCTCACAGGTACTGACTGGTACAGTGACTTCATCCACACACATTAATTATGATACATGACAAGGAAAGTATAAGAGAATTGATATCATGCGAACAATGAAACCACAAGCACTTTCCTGAAACTGTTTAGTTCCTGGGCACAGGTCTGGAGGTATTAGAAGCCAGCGGTGTCAGATCCCTTGGGGATAGAATGATAGGTAGTTGTGAGCCTTCTGACATAGGTGCTGGAACTCAGGTCCTTCTCTTAAGAGCAGAGCCATTTCTCCATTTAATACTTTTTTAAGAGTTTTTATATTTTATACATTAGCTACTTAAATTTCTATCATATTTTTGGTTCTACCCAGGTGAGCAAATATGTCTGGATTGAGTCACTGGTATGCACAGCCTTGTCCTACATCAGCATCTAGGAACTTAATGACTTGAATTCTCAAGCCTTTCTCTAGCCTCAAAAAGGTCATAAGTGAAGTCAAAGACACAGATACTAGCATAGGAATGAGGAAAGGATCCATGTTCTGTGTGGTAAGAAAATGTGTTGTATTTATACCACACACACACACACACACACACACACACACACACACACACACACACAATGCATTAAATGTTCTAAGATGAATGGTGAAGCCAAATGATAAGTGGAGGTGGCCATTTTGCTTAATGGCCCTTTACTGACTTTTTGTGATGGTCTCTATCATTTTGTCAAGCAACGTGTTCATAAAAACAAAACAAAACAAACAAAAACCTTCTATCCTTTTCATAATCGAACCTGATTTGAGGGACAGAGAGATGACTCAGCAGGTAAAAGCACTTGCCACCAGGCCTGGTGACTGAATTTTAATCCCTGGAATGTAGTTCTTGCCAGAAGAAAAGGTGTCGTTCAGGTGATTGAAGCCGTATCTGGTAGGAGAATGTCTTCATCTTTTGTTCATCATGAGAATGCCTGGTGACATTAACAGTGTGAATACACTGACAGACCCCCTGTGTTTACACCAGTTAGGCTAACCCTTAGATGATGACTGGTGTCTTCTTTAGGTTCATCTCTCGTGGAAACCTAATATTAGGGGGCCTAGACTAGAGAGTGTAAGTAATTTAGAAAGTTCCTTTAGGACCTATGACTGCAGCCTTTTTACATAAAAACTTTGCTTAAGATCGGTATTTATCTCTAGTGTATGAATGGATGTTGGGATCCCATTCCACATAGAGGGATACTCTCTCAGCCCAGACACCTAGGGGGAAGGCCTAGGCCCTGTTCCAAATGACATGGCAGACTTTGAAGATCTCTCATGGAAGGCCTCACCCTCCCTGGGGATCAGAAAGGGAATAGGATAGGGGTTGGGGGGGGAGGAGGATAGGGAGAGGGAACTGGGATTGGCATGTAAAACAAGCTTGTTTCACATTTAAATAAAAAAAAAAGGAAAAACATATTACAAGAACACAGTGGGCTTGTGTCCAGTTTATTGCAGTAACTTTCTAGGCCTTGTGGAGATGGCAGGCAGAGTCCTGGGAGTCGGGTGGAGAAACAGTGGCCCCAGCTCAAGGTAAAATTGATTGTCAACTTTGTATTATTAAGGTTATATTCTGGGGGACCCTACCAGAAGGTACATCATTTCATGAGTAGTTGGCTAATCTCATAGTTTCATTAGGACTTTTATGTTTACATTAAAAAGTTTATTAATGTGCTGTTATTTAATATCTTTCATGATTTTAAAGGCTGTAACATTTTAATCTGTGACGCATTTGTTTACAGTGTTTACATTTGTTACTTAATATGCTATATAATGTGCAGCACTTGAGGCCATCTGCTAGGAACATTTGAAGCCCACGATGCACATTTTGAAGATGTACACAGCAAATGAGTCACAAAGCAAGAAGTATGCAGGCCATGTTTGCGATGGAGACAACCCGTGTATTTTAACTTGGAAGACCCTGTGATTTGAAACTTGGCAAGGGGGCTTTCCAAAACTAAGCCCTTCTCTAATTTCAGGCAAGTGTCAAATGATATTTTAGGAGCTGTGGAGATAGATGGCTCAGTAAGGAAAATTTGCTTGATGTGCAAGCGTGAGAGCCCGAGTTCAAACCCCCCAGTGCTGATGTACGGCCATGCACAGGCCTGTGCCCTGGGAGGTGGAGACTTGCTGGGTGTCACTTTACGTTTAGCAAGAAGCCCTGTCTCACAGGAATGAGCTGTAAAGTGGTAGGGCAGGACACAGTGTCCCCTGGCCTCTGGCACATACACGGGAGAGTGTAACTGGGCACACAAATGTGAAAATGCCACTTATAGGATTTGAAGTGAAAGTATTGGCATCAATATGAACTGGGATTATGCTTCTAAGAGTTTGTGCTTCAGGGGCAGGTTTCAGAATAGTTACCACAAGAAGTTACTGTGCTAAGAAGCCAAGAAGGCTATTGTTACCAGTAGGTTTTTCCTGGTAGCCTGGGGCCACAGCTGCACCATCCCCAAATAACACACAGAGATGCTGTATTAGATATAATTCTGTTGGCCAGTTACTATCATTTCTTATTGGCTAGCTCTGTCTTAAATATTAGCCCATTCCTATTAATCTAAGTGTTTCCACGTGGTCTTATCTTACCGGAGAGAGTGGCTGGCATTAGTCTCTCTCTGTACTCCATCTTGGATCTACTCCCTACTCCTTCCGGAATCCTCCTTGTCTCCTAGTCCCACCTATCCTCCTTTCCTATTGGCCAACAGGGCTTTATTCATTAACCAGTATGAGAAACATATTTACAGAATGGCATCTCCCATCAGGGTATGTCGAGGATTCACTGAGAATGTCTTGGGGTCATCCTTGGGGACAAAGCACTGTGTCTTCTTTGTGGTCTGGAAAAATGCTGATCTGAGTACTACGACTCACTGTGGGATTATGGGCCCCACTGGTACTTCAGCCCTGTTGCAAACAGTCACTATGAGTTTATGCCTTTCCTCCAAATTAAGAAAATTGAGCAAAATTATCACCACGGGTGAGTTCACAGAATAATATTTTGAGAAACTGTCTCTCTTTCTCTCTGAGTGTCCATGTGTGAGTGGGTCAAAGACTGAGGTTGACACTAGGAGCCTTCCTCAATTCCCTTCCACCTCATATTTTGAGGCGTGGTCTCTCCGTGATCCTGGTGTCAGCCATACCACTTGGCTGGCACGCCTCAGAGGGCGCCCTGTCTCTGCTGCCTCAGGGTTGGGTGCAGTTAGTGCAGTTATTGTTTTTTAACTCTGACTCTTTTGCCTTTCTATTCTTTGGAGCCTGCCACTCATTTCCAGGAGATTCTTTCTTTCTTTCTTTCTTTTTTATTTTTTTTTACTTAAAAATGTCCGGCCTTAGCTTGGCTCATTTCTATCCATATTTCTTAATTTAAATTATCCCTTCTGTCTTTTGCCTCTAAGCTTCTGTCTTCTTACCCTATCACTGGGACTCTGATGTCTTCCTCTCCTCCTTTCTTTGCTCCTTGATCTTCTCCCAG